CTACAACAATCATTGTCTCTCGAGCCACAAAACGGCGCTACGCTAAATGTCAGCCTGCCCCTCCCCTCTGCGGAGAGCGGCGAGACTCGAGACCGCGGGCATAACTAGGATGATGAGTAACTAGGGACGGACGATCTTTTGCGTCCCCATTGGAGCCGCCTATTTACGGTCGACGCCACACAAAAAAAAAATAATAATAATGCGGATCGGGGAAACGGAGCAAATACCGCTGGTGAGGAAACAGAACCCAGGAGCTGGTCATTCGCTTGAACAAGGATTGGTCAGAATCACGAAGGATTTCAGCCCTTGATGGCACTCTACCATCCTTGCATGTCTTCTACTAAAAGCGACTATGCGGACAGCTTCAAGCGACCATGCTCCCGCAGGCCAGGATCATGGCTACAAAGCAGATGAAAGAATGGCGGTGCGGCGAGCGAGCAGCGAGGGAACCCCTACGAAAATACAATTCCGCGGAAAAGGGTCATTGTATTTCAATTGCCTTTATTAGTAACCTACAACCTCTGGTTCTATGTCGAATGCGCGAGCCCGGCTCGGCCTTTAATTATTGCAGATGGGGATTGTCTGAGGCGCCGCCACCCCCAATGATACGACGAAGGATCAACCAAAAAAATATGCCCATCGCTGCGCGCATTGCATTGGCTTGGCTTGGCTTGGCTCAACGCCTTTTCACGATGGCGGCTTGCCAAGCATCAATCAGGCAGGCACGCCTTTGTAGCTCTGCCGCAATCTATTTACGATAAGCCACAACATATATAGACAGAGAGAGAGAAAAAGAATTGTTCTTCGTTTTCGGCAGACGTAGCTAAAATATTGAGAAATAAATCGCTGAACCTAGATCCCTTCTTCATTGCGCGCGCCATGGTCGGGCCCTTCAGTGCTAGTCGCCTTACAGAACGAAGCATAATTAATTAGGTAGGTAGTTGGGCGTTGCAGCGGCACCGACGAAACGGTTGTTTTGCTCCGATCCCCCAGCGAATCCGATTCCAAAAAAAAAAAAAAAAATTGACCTCCCTCAATGACTCGCATCTTTATGAGACCATCTTTTGTCTGAGAAGGCTCAGACCAGGCTCGGCCATGAGCGAGAAACCCTCAATCATCGAAATGCATGTCTCTCATTTGCATCACCACACGCTTGCAATTGCGCGCGCCACCGGAGGTAGCGGAAATTCGCGGAAATATGCAACATTTTCATTTGTTACCGAGCGGTAGCAAAGACGCTCTTTTTCATACATGTCCACGATACGCGACAAGCCTCTTCTTCTCGGTGCAGGCGCAGCTTGAACAACATTTCTAGTTCCTGTCCTAGCTTCCAACCCCGCGCCTTCTCGTTTGACCCAGCTATCCAGATCCAGATGGGCTTTGGCATATTTCGTCATGCATCCGCCCCAGATCGTCCGGCACAGCAACGTGCCGCGGGGGTGCCTTTGCTAACTACCTACAACTAGCAGACTGCGCTGCTAAGAAAGAACTGAAGCTAAACAAGTTAGTTGACTGACGCATGTCTCTCTTCTGTGCCAGTATCCGTAGTTAGCACTTTGTTTTAGGCGCCCTTTGCACTTTTTGCACTAATAAGTTGCATCACCGATCTGGACCAAAAAAAAAATCAAATCATTTATGCAGGGGCAAAAAACGTGGCCGGCACTGATCCTGCCCCGCGGCGCAGTTTAGAGCCCAAAAAAGAAAAGTGAAACCATTTCAGAAGCTCTGGCCAGAGGAAAGCCCGTTGTTATGAACCAGAACTATCCGAGCACAACAGACAGCCAGGGAGGGGTTTGATTGTTGGCCAAACTTCTCTTGCGTTGCCGAAACTGCACAACAAGAGCCGTGTTGGACAAGGGCAGGGGAGAGGGCCTAGCTCTGGCTCATGCAGGCAGGCGGCACCGCACCAGCCCGTCATTGTTCACCAACAGGTCGGCGAGTGGGCTGACAAGCTCGTTGGTGTTTGCCTCCATAACTACTGCGACAAAGATGCTCGATGGGGCCAACTACCATTCCAGCTAGCCCTTCATGAAAAGAAGCTGAAGGGCGAGTGGTAATCGGGCCACCAATCCCCCCCTCCCCACCAATCAATCCCCCGGAGTAGGCAAAGCACAGAAGAACGTCAAGAACGTTTCAGTCCATCCCCAGGCAGGGATCTGTATACATTCAACCCCCCGCACACAGGTTTCTTGTCGCTCCATCCTGGGGTCGGGCGAGCGGCAGAGTCCCTGACCAAAGGAGGCTGGCCAAACCGGCAGATCTCAAAATCCGCATAATACCGGAGCCTCCGGGGTCCGTTGCGTGGGGGAGAAACGCACATCAACCGCCCATTTCTAGACGCCCGCTGGGAGAAACAAATGAGTTGCCTGGGTTCTGAGTTATTTAATTATAAAAGCTTGGCGCCCAACCCAGTTCTCACTTGCCGATAGACTCTACCCAGAGCTCGAGGCTTGTCAGGCTCGCCCGTTGCGATGTCGCTCGAGTACGCACCATGTACATGGCTACTTCTTTAATTCCGTAACGCCACCCTGGGGTAATGGCGCGCTCTCATTCCGAAGCGTCATGTATTCCGCTTAGTGAACACCTAAACACACACAATGTGAACCAACTATGCTTTCGCCCACTCCTCGGCTAATTCACATCCGTTAAAAGTGTAATAACTCGATAACCAATGCAATGCAAAAGGCATCTCGGACCGCTCGCCGGACAACCCGCATCAAGGGCCACTTCCTTGTGTACATGCCCGACCAAGGTCATGCCCAGACCACAACAAGTCAGACCACGCTACCAGATCGACCCTACCCATCCTGTCGAGACTTAATATTACATGGATACCAAATAGGCTCACCGTCATTACGAAAAGAAATGGAAAAGATTAAGACGCCGATCAAGCTGTCATGTCCAGTAACCAAGTTCTGTCTCATAAACAGATACAATGACAGGTGACTCCCCAGGCCCCCTTTTCTAGGCTATTTCTTGCACAGCTAGTCAGTGGCAAAGGTGGTTAGCCTTTGTTGGATTTTGAAATGAGCAAAGCTTCCTCTCTCCCTCTGGCTCGGGCCAGCGGGCGCCAGTGTCGACGCGGCACACGACAGGATGCCATCATCTCCCTACCTTTGTTAGATTTTGGGGAAATGGTGGGGGAGGGAAGGGCGTGTCTGTAAAGCCAGTTTATTAGTGCGTGCGAGTTTGCTGCTAGTAACCGTGTCTCTGATTCAACTTAATTCGATGAGTCGGAGGGGGGTGGGATTGCCCCAGGTTCTGGATGGGCTAGCACCAGTTCAACTTGATTTTCCTTTCCCTTCATCCGAACGTTTGTCCGTGCACCGGCACGCTACCATCTCAAGGGCCGCCACACAAACAACATGTCAATGGCCCTGTAAAACCAACGTTGAGGAAACTCTAATAAACAGCGTCAGATTGAAAAGTGGCCCGTACTCGTACGTTGCCATGGGCCAGATGGGTAGCCACCGTCGTCGCTGCTTGGTGTAAACTACTACGGAAAGCCCAGCGAGAATAACGCTGGACTATTGTCTGTCTCACAACTCCAGCATCGCGGAAATGATGGAGCAGGTAATCCATTTATCCGTCACAAGTAGTCCGTCTCCGACGTCGCCCGCCTTCCTCATGCCGCGGCGGATTCCATAATGTTTCGAAACTACAGACATCGAGCTAGGACAACGGGGTTCTGGGTTCAAAGCTTCGTATTTCTGGGTTAGATAACCGTGTGCATAATTTGGTGCTCCGAGAGTCAGCGTCTAGTCGTAATTTGATGCATGGATCTTGTTGCTGGCGTTTCGATGGGGATCCTCCGTACTATGAATACACGGCCTAATCAATGGGTTCAACATGTATAGCAGCTTGCTGGACTGTGAGATCAGGACAGAAAAAAAACTGCGCCGGTAATTACTCAAGTAGTTGATTCATGATCATATACATATACTATTTCGTTCGTGAGTTGTGAGTCATCAATCATATATTGCCTCTACTGGGCAAGACGTTCGTTCGAGCTTGAAAGCCACTGAAAATGCTTTGATAAGATTCTGCCAATCTTTCTTCATACCATCATCCCTCTTTCATGCCCCTTTCTTGCCCCTTTATGAATGTCAAGCTTGTGTCCAGGGTATATGGCCCCTTCTCACTCCGTTGCTGGCAAGTCTTGAATGGTACACCCTCGTTCTTCGGCAGCTGCGCGGCCATTCAACCTGTCCGTGGTTATTTCTTGGCCAGTAAGTCGGCTACAGTGTGTTTTGGCTTGAACCATTCATGGCCCTCGCTGATATAAATTGAGATCGCCCAAGTACCACCACAATGAGCTGAGGTGTCTCCTTGGCATGCTGTCGAGCAAGCCGTCGCCGGTAGAAGCTGGAGATTTTCTACAATTGAGTTTCCACACCAACACTCTCTTCCGTCTTCGGTACCTGCAGTAGGAAATCCGTTCAATCTGCAGTAGGTCATACATTTCTCGTTGGACATGTCTTCGCCGGAGAATACCCTTGGTCCTCCTCTGATCACTCGCTCTGCGCTATCACTGAAGCAGCCGAGGTATTTCCATCCTCGTGGATCCCAAGAATATGATTCTGATTCTGGTATGCTGTTCTCCTTATTGTAAGAACTGGGGCCCTGGCTGGATTGCTCATCTTGCTTGGAGTAACTCGGCATGGGGTCGACGGTTGTCGTAGGCTCTTTCGACTGGCCCGTGGAACAGTCTATTTTCGGTAAGGAGGTCTCAAAAGATACTGTTCCTTCATCATCATATTTGGATAGTATCGCCTCCGGTGTTGCTATAGGGCAATTCCCTGCTGGACCAGAAGAGTACGCTGGGGCCGCATCGCAGGGACACGAGCAAATCGGACACGCTGCAGTTTGAGAAGCCGCATCTGGATCTGTGTACATAGATGCAGAGGTTGGCCCTAATAATGTGTTAGTCGTATACGTCAAGGGTATGAGGTAAATAGTACCGAGTGCACTTGAATAAGCAGGAGGCAGAGTGGATGTACAGCTTGTCTGGGGCTGGCCGTAGGGGAGATTTGATTGCGCCGGCAGATTCCCCGCGGTCATTTCTTTTGTAGGCTCAGGCATATTCTCTCCGTATCTTGGAGGCAAGTTGGTAGGTAAAAGCGACGAAAAGGTGTACCCAGCCGTGGGGAATATGGTCAGCACACTCCAGTTCGCCGCACTGGTCGTCTCCTTGGTAATGTAACCTTGCGGCGGTTGTGACGGGGATGGAGAGCCGGTACAGTCACAGGGTATGACGATTTGGTACGTTGTGCCCGAGGTTTGTTTCGAGAGTGTACATATTGGCAGGGTGAGATGATCTGCGGCAGTGCACATCAATCCGGCCACTTGATTCAGAACTTCGTAAAGCTCGGTTCTGGCCAAAAATACTACTGAGTTGATGATTTCACCCACAAATAGCCCGCCACGTAGGATTATGTTCGCCATGATGCCGTCAATGTTCTGAATGTTGGCAATGTGAGACGGTTGAACTTGTTTACCAACAGCGGCCGCAATTGCTGGCAAGATTAGCGGCAAGATATCCTCCGCAGTAACGGATGAGTGTTCTGCGACCGTAGGAATAACGGACGTTATATCCATACTGTCGACAGGAAATACGCTGAGGATTGCGTCGATTAGTCTTGCGCCAGCACCAGAGTCGACGGCACAAACTTGGACAACAATGTCAGAAAGTATACTGAATAGGGACGGCTGTCCCATCCACACGATAGAGTTTTGAATATCTTGATTGTTGCGTGCTTCTAAATCCGTCTCGTGAACATCGGCTTCTTTGTGTGATGAATCACCGCTGGCTATGGCCTCTCGAATAGCGTCAGACAGTGCCGTTAATGGATCAACAGCGGGCACAGTCGTTGTCGGGGTGGCTGCGCTCTCCGTCCGATCGACGTAGAAATGTGGCATCACTCCAGTAAGGCCACCGAGCAAGTCGATCGGAGATTCGAGGGTGCCAACGCTTGCTGTAGTCGTTGCCATTGCTGGCTGATCTTCAATATCTTGCTGAGGAGGACCCGGATTGAGGTCAGGCTTAGTTTCCAGGAGCGTTAGACATATGTGATGCTTTGATGTTCGTAGTTCTCATACCTGTACCTGACGAAAGAGTATTTCCCTATCGGCCAGTCCACGTTTTGATAGGGACGCCGATGACTCGATACCAGACCTTATGCCGATGAACAGTGCTGTACATATCATGGTAGTGACCGAGATTGTTAGAGTACCGTACACAATACTGTGTCGTCGAAGGGCGCGTGAGGAGATGCGAATAGGCCATTTCTGACTGGCCTCGTAATGTAGTGGCAGCATCATGTTGAAGTTGGTTCAGCTTGACTTATAAAATACGAACCAAGAAGAGTTCCAAAATCGATCCCAAAAAAGCGTAACTTGTTCGAAAAGTTGGAGAAGATGAACGAGGAGCAAAAATCTTGGCTTTGGCCGTAGTGTTTGTACTGCGTGTCCCGCTTCCAACGTGGGAAGGAGCTTTGGCCTCCTTGTGCAGGTGATCTGATTCCTGCCGCATACGTTGAATCAATTGACTGTGTGCTTGTAGAGATGTATTGGTGCAGTTTATTTTTGGCGATGTATTTTTTTCTACCTTTTCGCCGACTGAATTCGCTTATATTGAATATGTTGGATGCATGCCCTTTAACAAACGGTGCTTGGGTGATCGCCATGAGAGTCCATATACCTAAAGCTCCTCCACATTTTCTCAGCTGGAAGATTATCGAAAATAAAAAAGGATCAATTCTTGAATATCCTTCAGCGGGAGCATTCTCTCAATTATTTCTACACTGCGCCATCACCGATACATACAATACAGCAAGCAACACTCGACAAAAGGTACGTACCGGCTCGGTGGGGTTGCAGGCAAAAACGACCCCAAAAAATTTCGAGGCTAGAGATAAGATAGGCAGGCCAGGATATTTTTTTTTTCTTCAACCAGCAGCTGCACTTTGTTGCGATATTGTTGTTTCACACAGCAATCGTACTGCTGCAGATCAGCCACCGTGACAATGACGGCCGTAGACATTCACCGCTGTCGATTCGTGCCATACCAGCCATCTGCTATCAACGCCGTTGCATTTTCCCACCCGAGAACTCGGGACAGCAAGCATGCTGCCGTCGCCCGACTGGCGGTTGGCAGAGCCAATGGCGACATTGAAATCTGGAACGCCGCCGCTGGGATATGGCACCAGGAGCTTGTCATTCGTGGTGGCAAGGATCGCAGCATCGATGGCCTTGTCTGGATCAACGAACCCGACCAGGACCTTGGCGAAGGACGCATCCTAATTGGCAAATCCAGACTCTTCAGCATCGGCTACACCTCGACCGTCACAGAATGGGATCTCGAAACAGGAAAGCCCAAGAGACATGCAAGCGGTCAGCATGGCGATCTTTGGTGCATAGCCGCCCAGCCCTCCCTCAACGACAAACGAGGGTCATCCGTGACCGACACGCAGGGCTCCAACAAGCTCGTTGCTGGCACCATCGACGGCGAGCTGGTAATGTACTCTGTCGAAGATGATGACCTTCGCTTCCAAAGAACTATCGTCAAGTCGCCTACCAAGAAGGCACAAATGGTCAGCATCATCTTCCAATCGCGCAAAGTCGTCATTGTTGGCTGCTCCGACAGCACCATACGAGCCTACGATATCACCAAAGGACACATGCTGCGCCGTATGACACTCGGTTCCGACCTCGTTGGTGGTTCCAAGGACATCATTGTCTGGTCTGTAAAATGTCTACCCAACGGCAACATTGTCTCTGGTGATTCCACCGGCCAAGTATGCATCTGGGACGGCAAAACTTACACCCAAACGCAAAGGCTGCAGAGCCATAAGCAGGATGTTCTCAGTCTTGCCATCAGCTCTGACGGCAGCACAATCATGAGCGGCGGCATGGACAGAAGAACTGTGCTTTACAAGCAGAACTCGGGGGCAGGCCAGCGCTGGGGCAAGGTCTGGGGCCGCAGATATCACGAGCACGACGTCAAGGCCATGGCTACGTTCGAGCACGCCCGTATCAGCGTCGTTGTCTCTGGAGGTCCCGACTCAAATCTTGTCATCGTACCACTCAAGGAGATGGGTCGTGAACATCACAGAACGATCAGCAGTCTCCCCCAACAGCCGCCTCTCATCAGTGCTAGTAAGGCTCGCTTCATGGTGAGCTGGTGGGATCGTGAGATTCACCTGTGGCTCCTGCAAAAGTCTGCCTCCGATCTCACCAAGCTCGACGGTGAAAGCGACTTTGATATCAACCAAAACCGCAAACTACTCAAGACAATTGTTGTCAAGGGTGACTCGAACATTTCCTCAGCCAGCATCAACCCAAACGGCACCCTACTCGTTGCTTCGACCTCCACAGACGTAAAAGCTTTCGCACTGGAGCATTCCAACCCCACGAAGCCCGCCGATGTTACACTTTCTTCGATCGAATTGCCGGAACAGGTCACAAAGCTTGGTGCCAGCAAGGTGCAAATATCGCCCGATGGGTCGTGGCTATGCTTCGTACAAAACGGTTCCCGCGTCATCATTGCCAGCATCTCATCCGAGTCTAACAGTCACACAATCGCTGCATCGCGTCATCTTCGCCGACTACATCGCTCCGTACCCAAATATATTCTAAACGGAGGTCTGGGATCCTATGAAAGAAACGTTGCCCATATCGCTTTCAGCCCGGACTCTAAACTTCTTGCGACTGCTGACCTCGCTGGATATGTCGACACATGGGTGCTGCGTGACGCGGCACATGACGGGGCCGACGGTTATGCGAATGGAACCGAAGAGGACGACGCGTCAGCTACTGACTCTGATTCATCCGACGATGATGCCGAAAGTACCAGTACAAACGAAGTTGGACGATGGATTCGCAACCCTAATGCCAAGCTAATGCCCAAGCTGCCTGCAGCTCCGTCTGTCCTCGCATTCTCGGATAGTATCCCGGGGCAGGAGGGGGTGGAGGACTACACTCTAGCAGCAGTCACATCGTCATGGAATGTCGTCGCTTTCAACGCCCTCCAGGGCTCTTTGACGCCATGGTCCCGCCGCCATCCTCGCAAGGCTCTACCCGCGCCCGTTCAGGACCTGTCAGACTTGGCCAAGGGTGCCTTCTGGCAAGGGTCTAGGCTTTGGATATACGGCGTCTCTTTTCTGTTCATGCTTGACATGAGTCAGGATTTGCCAGCTCCAGACAAGGAAGTGAGTGAGCAGCTTGTTCAACAGGGCACAAAGCGCAAGCGAACAAATGCCACCAGCGGCGCCGGTGGTCGCATGGAAAGGGAGGGGCTGAAACCGCAACAAATACGCAAATACTCGTCAAATAAGTGGGAAGACGTTGACGTAGACGGTCCCAGCACTAGCGGCGACGTGGACATCGACAGCGACGACGACATGATTGATGGTGCAGACAGCGAGCTTGCGCAACTACGCAGCGCCGTGGCTGGCGGCGAAGCCCTATCAGGAGGGGCAGAGGATGAAAATGGACGAAAGACGTGGTGGATTACATACAAGTATCGTCCTGTGCTGGGTGTCGTCTCCTTTGGCGGCGATGACTCGCTGGAATTAGCTCTTGTTGAGCGCCCAACCTGGGATATAGAAATGCAGGATAGCTATTACGCCGGCCAAGAGTGGGAACTTAGATAGTGTGAGGGTCGTATCTGGGTACAAATGTGAAAGATGACAGCTGTATAGCAAGATATTGTTTTGAGGGGCGCGGATGTTTGTGTTAAGGTACACCCGCCGTCGTATGGGAAGATACGGTGGTGCGTGCTGGATGAGCTGTCGCATTACAAATGAAATAGTTGTACAATGAACTACATATTTTACGGCATACAATCGAAAAAAGTGATCTCGAATCTTCAATATGTGTAGGGCTACTCTGCTGTGCTAGACCCTTCGATCCAAGGGCCACGTAACCACAGTCACGTGTGGCGATTTCGGACCGACATGATAAATCTTTGGTCGGGAACTGCTGCCAGATATTGGATGGGTTGTCTAAGATGCATTCGATATACTACATTATCACCAGCTTACGCGGCTTTCATGATGTGCTGTCCAGAGTTGGTGGCTTTGCGACGAAAGATGCTCGTGAGCAAGCCACATCCCGCATTCTGTGTATGGCTTGGCACGCGTCGAACCGAGATTTGTTCCACAAGCCGTGTCTTTGATGGAGGCCACATATAAAAATCAAGACAGCACTAGGGCAGGCGGCCCGTTGAGGGGGGGAGGAAAGCTTGGGCAACTTGGGATACATCCCGCGGGCGCAACGCGCGTCCCGAGTCTCGACCCGCTGTGTCTCACGAGACACGCAGATTTTTCTCATTCACCTTTGTGAGGGTCTGTCGAAAGCTGTTTCGCAAGATGATTCATGCAGCAACTCTTATTGGCAGACTTTTGCGTATGCTTTGTGGAAACTGGGCCATCTGTGGCCAGCATCCCACATGTCGTGAGAAGAACCGTAGTATAGGTGAAAAGTCCTGGGTGGCTTCTGGCAAAAAGGCAGCGCCCCTTGATTCATAAGAGCCTAAATAGTGTTGTTTCACTCAAGAGAGAATCATCGTAATCATCATGATCATGGAGGAGATTCTGATTCGCGTGTAGTTAGCAGCTCCCGGGGTTATGGGCGAAGTGACGAGATATCGAATAGGGCCGACATGTCATAATGCAGTTCCAGCATGTCGTAGGAGGTTACCGTTCGTAGTCTTACAAGAGGCCACTTTCCTTTAGGGCTGTGCGTCAATGTCATGACTTATACCTAGCAAGTATTTCGTAGTGGACCAAGTATGCATACGCAAGCTGCAAGTCGGCCGTCGATAGCCTAATAATAAGAGCAAACAATGCTTCGCGAATAGTGATTCCACAACGGCAGCCCTGTAATAAACGGTACGTACCTTTGCTACCTGACAAGCTGAAGGGGCATGCTTGCAGCTCTGAGAAGAAGAATTCATTCTCAGCTTGCGGAGGTCTAAGCAGAGCATCATGCAGCATCGTTGTGAGATGACCTATTCACAAATGCAATCCAACATCCAACCAGGGGTCTCATCAAATGCCAAGATAACTGCCAAGGTATACGAACCATATCCTGTTTGGCTTCCATCTGCTACCCTACGGTTCTTTACACAGTGATATCAAGCATCAGAGAATTGTTATGCAAAGAGCCTGCAGAAACGCGGAGTTGCGCGATTATTCTCATCACCCCCGTCACAGACTTTGTGTTGAAGTTTGCCGGCTGAAGGCTGTTGTCGCCTCTTGATAAATCTGCAAGAATACCTCGACAGGCATTCTCAAGTAGAGCCATATTGCCGTATTCGATTCTCCCTCGTCATGTAGCTTTTCATCACACCAGCCATTCTTGAAGAGACTATGTACGGCCAATCCGCTTCGAGAATGGCGTTGGCGTTATTCAGACGCTCCGCTGAGTCGCTTTCGTCGTGAAGTCCGCGGGTGCTACACGACCAGCGTTTGTTTGTCATACAGCCGACTTTAGTGGCCCGTCCAACTCAAAAAATTTTCTCCTCTTCTCACGATCAAGCAAATCTTTCCGTTTTCAGATCAAAGAAGTATCAAGCACGATGTGCGGGTGTTATAGGTGGGATCAGGGCCACATCTTTCTCACGCCTCAATATTCACTCGAGGTCGAAGATATGGAATGGTATACGAAAAATGGGTTTCATCCAGTCGATCTAGGTCAGATTCTTCCGCTTCCAGAAACATGCGTAGATCAACCGAGCAAGGAGCCTAGATACAGAATCATGGTCAAGATTGGGTTCGGTGCATTTTCCACAGTCTGGTTGGCTAGGGACCTAGATGAGAAGTACATATTTCGTTTTACTTTTTTTCGAAGGCGAGGCTGACATTATTAGTCGATGGGTTGCCGTCAAAATCTGCTGTGGAATTGAGGTCCCTCAGAGAAGCAGCGAGGCTTCTATTCTGTCCGAAATTCGCGAAAGTAGTCAAGGAAAGGCTGGCGTTGAGCAAGTCCTTCGACTTTTTGACGACTTTATAATCAAAGGACCAAACGGTTTCCACCAGTGTCTAATCACTGAAGTCGTTGCGCCTTTAACTTATAGCGCTGTCCGTGAACGGTGCTCCATAGATGCCCTTCGTCAGATTATGGAGGGATTTGCCTTTCTACATGAGCAAGGTATATCACACGGCGGTACGCTACCCCTAAGTTCTCTGAACTTGAAGAGCGCATGAGGTTAACAGCATGGCAGATCCACACATAAGCAATCTTGGAGTTGCTCTTCCGCAGCTGGAGGAGCTTGATGAACAAGACATGGCAGACCTTTTCCCGACTGAAATGCCTTTTCCCGTCATGTCACATCTTGAGAGAAAGCCGCTCGCGAACCTGCCGGCGTTCATGGTGGCTCTTGAGTCTCTGGCGGGCATGCTAGAAAAGAAGAAGCTGTTTCCGGGGGGAAAGAAGTTGCAGATCAAGATTCTGGGTTTTGGAAGAGGTACGCTGATTCTATTTGGGGTGCACGCATGTAAGAGCGAACTCCTTGGGCTGACAACAGGGTTTTTGCCGAGCAGCTCATAAAACCAGCGAAGAAGCTGTGATGCTTAAAGGTTCCATGCCGGCTATGATGCCTCCACCAGAACTTTTGATGCACGACTTATCGAATGGCGATTTGCGATCCCCAGGGAGTCAGGCCGCCGACGTATGGGTCATCGCGTGTACAGTATGTTGCACACTCTTCCACTCTGTCCTTCGATCGATGTGCACCACGCAATCTTCCGGAGATGAAGAACAAGCGCGAGCAAGCGCCCAACTGACCTTCTTTACTAGATTTTTCACGTCATATCGGGTCAGCCCTTCTCAGGAACCTGGTCACGCAAGGACGCATGCCTCACCGAGTGCCTGCAGTTTGGCGGTCCCCCCGTGGAGTCGTGGCTGGACTTTGCAAGATCAAAACTCAGTCTCGAACCAGGTTTGTGATCTCTGAGCGTTTACTTGGTTTTTCGCAATGTCTCATTTCACCTTTGTCTTTAGATGCACGACGTATTGAAACACTGATGCTGTTGGCGCTCGTCCGCTACCGCACGAACCGTGAGAGGATCTGGGTGTGGTTTGCCATGCACTGTCACTGGGACTACAAGGACGACAAGATCCAGGTCTTTTTCGATTTACTGAAGAAGATGATGGTCACCGATCCGGAAAAGAGAATCTCCATACAGGAGGCGATGGCGCATCCATTTCTCTTATACGAAGAGTTGCGTCTTCGTCGGGTAGATGAGACTACCCGCCGCAACAAGCCAGCAGTACCAGCGGAGAATCCGATAATTGACTGGGGAAAATCACCGGCGACTGAAGTATGGGAAGATGAGGAACAATACGTCCTCTCTGGCATGGAAATAGGCTGGGACGATGACAAGAAGTAGGGATATGAGACTGAACAAGTCTTGATGAACTAAGTTGGTGCCGAAAGGGCCATGTATCAGTTATATAGCAGTACTAGTTAGTTGTGGGCTGGTTGTTTGAATACCAGTAAATAAATGATAAAAGGCATTCTCGTATTGAAGATGCTCCCCTGTCTGTTGAATGCGGAGCTGGCAGGGCTGAGGTCGCTAAATCCACAAACGCAAGGTCTGCCGACAACGTGCTTTTTTCGCTCGTCGTGTTAATGCCAATGTTCAATCCATCTCCGCCACCTAACTAATGAAAAAGTAGATACCTTGGTACCCGTCTGTCAACTCGCCAAATCCGCTTCAAGCGCACCAGGTTTCCATTGGCTGGGGAGGGCTGAGTTGGTGAGACTGATCAATCAAGTGCCTCGTCATCGTCCCAGACAAACCGAGTGGGCGACGCCACCAGCGGCGACCAGGTATTGGTACCCGCTTGAAAGGGGCGGTGCTGAATCTGGAAAAACTTGAAGAATGGGTATAGTATGCCGTGGCGTAACGCTAAAAGGTACTTTTCTAAGCGGTATTGCGTGGTGGTGAGGGGCTGCCATCAGCACAGTGCACATGCACACTGAGAACGGCGAACAGTCGCTGGCGCAGGGCACTATGACTACCGATATCTGAAAAGGAGCTGTTGGAACAAAAATTGAATCAGATGGAGGGAGAACGGGAAGAAGCTGGCTCTCGAGATTTTACTTCATCTCATTCAATTTCCTTACGCTTTACTCGTCTTGCGCAACTCCGATCCCTCTTGTGTGGCCGAGAGGTACCTGTACTTTGAGGCTGCGTAGGCCAGGCCCAGTTAGACCCACCTTGCAGGATTCGCCGAACGGCCATTGGCCAGCTACCAACAGCTGACGCGTAAACTCGCAGCGATGGCAAGCAGACGACGCACACGCCCTCTCCCGAGACACTGGCAGCGCCCCCCAAGAGTCCCAGTTCTCCCAAGTCCCCTTCTCCGGCGCCCAGCCAACTTTAAGCCGGCTGCTTTTCAATCCGCATCTTCTTGGCCACCACCGCCAGACCCTGATCCTCCTCTCCTCTTTCATCAACGCATCGCTGGGAGGACGAATCCAACTATTGCGAAAGAGCGCTCTCACGCCCTCCTTTCTGCATTCCTTCGACAATCCGACTCGACCGTCGTCTTTGGATCCCATCTACACCACGCACCAGCCCTGTCGATCCACCCGTTCTGTCCTCGTCGCTCGACCACTTCGTGGCCCTTGCGATTCTAGCCCAGTCCGTGGCAAATTCGCAGGTGTACGTAGTACCTGGCTGACGACTACTCTCGTTACGCCAATCGGATTCGACTGGCCAACCCCGACGACTACTTCCCATTTCAATATCGTCACCTCTTGACGGCAACACTCGCTTTCCTTTTCCTCATATTATCCCTCGCCGTCAGACACATCGACTTGCTCCCCTCGCCCTCTTCATTCAACACCTGCCTCCTTCTCAACCATGGCGGGCAGAGGCGACTCCTTTAGCCCGGCACCGGCTGACGGCTCATACGGTGAAGAATGGGCTCACGATTTACGCATTCGATTCGAAAGTCTCCTCCGCGACAAGCGCATGAATGATTTGCGCTCCAATTCTCGACAGCCGACCCCCAGCGCCTTCGAGCGAGCCTCCAGCGTCGGCCTCCAAGGGCCTTCCACACCCATCAACGACCGTCCAATGACTTCTCACGCACCCGTTACGCCGCCCTCGTACTCCTCCATCAGGCATTTGCCCATCATCCCCTCAGCACCGACCGCTGGTGACCGCGAGAGCCAAAAATTCCGCAACCTCCTCATCAGTCTATCGTTGACCCCTACAAAATACGAAAACCCCGGTCTCCTCGACGAGGCACTTCAAATTATACCCCTCGATCGCATCTACGGTGAGGCTGAAGAAGAAACCCAGGTTCTCCAAGCTGAGGCCGAAAGTATGGGCGATGGCCGCAAACCCGAATGGGGCTACCAGGACTGCGTCATCCGCGCTCTTCTCCGATGGTACAAGCGCTCCTTCTTCACCTGGGTCAACAACCCTCCCTGCCCTGTCTGTCTTTCTCCCACCATTGCTCAGGGCATGACTGCGCCCACGCCCGAGGAGAGTGCTTGCGGCGCTCTTCGAGTCGAACTCTACCGATGCTCTGCCCAGAATTGCGGCGCCTACGAACGATTCCCACGATACGGTGATGTCTGGCGACTGCTCCAGACACGACGCGGGCGTGTCGGCGAATGGGCGAACTGCTTCAGCATGCTGTGCCGCGCCGTCGGTGGCCGCGTTCGCTGGGTCTGGAATGCCGAAGACCATGTCTGGACCGAAGTGTATTCAGAGCATCAGCGCAGATGGGTGCACGTCGATGCCTGCGAAGAGGCCTGGGATAACCCGCGTCTCTATGCTGAAGGCTGGGGTAAGAAGATGTCATACTGTGTCGCCTTCTCAATTGACGGTGCCACGGATGTCACGAGAAGATATGTTCGCAAGAACGAAAACGCCAGTGAGCGTAATCGATGTCCCGAAGAGGTCATGCTCTACATTATGCAAGAAATTAAGACAATCCGCCGGCAGAACATGAACAAGGATCAGCGTTTCCGTCTTGAAAAGGAAGATCAGATGGAAAGCGAGGAGCTACGCGGATTCGTCGTCGCCTCCATTGCCCAAGCCGTCACTGACCTTGTCCCTGGCTCCAGCTCCTCTGCTGTCAGAGCCCATGGTACCCACAGTCAAGACACAAAGCTGCCTGCAGAGCAGCCCAGTCACCAGTCTGGTCCATCTGACTGGGTTATGACTCAACCCGACGGTGGCCCGCGTTACCAACCACGCGATCCTAGCCATCGACGTCGTTTGCCATGAGGAGAGGTTTCAATGCTGACCATCATCGGCGACACTCATGGTAATGAGTTGTGGCAAGCCCAAACATAATCTTCTTGCACATATACAAACCACTCAACCGGGCTCGCGGCACACTTATCCTTAATGATCACACCTTCCGATATTTATATTACAGCGACCACGACATACGTGGTCTTACCACACGTCACGTTGAACACAACCGACTCAAACACCTTTTTTCCTTTTACGTCATATCCAACTCATACAAAAGCCGTCTTTTCATAGATTTTGGCGTCTTTTCTGACCCACAAGCTTGGTCAGATATTTGTACCTTAATCTTCATTTTTCCTTGGTTTGGGTTATTAGGGAGGAGTCAAGTTCTTATCTGTCATGATTGATTGCAGATGATATTGGCTTATTCTGTCCTTGGTCGCCTTGTTTTCCTTTGTTCCTTTGGTATCTGGGGGAGGGGGGGCTGGATTGAGCTGCAAGACAAGCTCTTTGGCGTTTTTTGGGTTTTTTGGGCTGCATGGATGAAGCGAAGCAGTTTTATGCGGCGTTGAACCGGAGGATTTATGGCACCAGTCAATAACTGGAAGGGCCATTCGAGGATAGTTCAAGACAATAGACTTGCCGGGCGCGCTTGTCCATGAACATTTCTGTCTGTCGTAAGAGGCCATGTGTTGATGAGAGAAGGTCGTAAGACTCGTAACATGAAAAGGTGTAACTTTGCAAAGCCACATCCCGAAGATGGCCGCCATGGCTGAGTGCGCCTCGCTACTTTCATAAACTCGGCTGAATTGGCGGGGCCGATTTTCGTCTCAGATCCGCAAAACGAGTGATGCCCCGCCAGCTACGGCCTACCAGCCCTCCTCCTCCGGCCCGACGTTGCTTGCTAATAAATGTAAGACTATCGTTTCCAGGTCATCCATTGTTTTCCGGCCACCCTGGTCGCATAATGAGTCTCTCGTCGCTATTACACCATATTTCATATCAACAACACCAACAGTCTACACGCTGCCCCCCGCGATCAGCGTGACCCTCGTCGTCGGAGACCGAGCCAGCGCGCCATTCACATAGTCCACCAGAATTGCGTGGCCGACTCGAGACGAATATGGATTTCAACAGTTCCTCGCCCTTCCCGGAAGGGGTCATTTCCTTTCTAGACACTGATTTGTACAAGCTTACCATGCAATGCGCCGTCTACAAGTACTTCAAGGATGTCCCTGTCACATATGCCTTTACAAATCGCACACCCGAGAAGAGGCTTTCCCGGGCTGGCTACAAGTGGCTACAAGAGCAAATTACAAGTAGGCATTATTCTCATCGTCAGATTTTTCGATGAATGAATCTTTGCTAACGCGCGACGCTAGAGCTTGGCAACATTTCTCTATCGGACGAAGAGTATAGGTTCCTCGAGCAGCACTGCAAATACCTCAGCGCCGACTACCTGGAATTCCTCAAAGAGTTCAGGCTGCGACCGAGGGAGCAAGTGTCAATCACTTTCGAGGCCATTGGCACAGACACGGGCAGCGACCAAGATCTTGGCGATGTGCACGTCAGCATCGCGGGCACATGGTCGGACACCATCCTGTACGAGATTCCCCTGCTGGCGCTGACCTCGGAGGCCTATTTCCGCTACATGGACACGGACTGGGACTACGAAGGGCAGGAGGAGCGGGCCTTTCAAAAGGGTATGCGGCTCTTCGAAACGGGCTGTTTGCTGTCCGAGTTTGGCACCCGCCGCCGCCGCGACTACCACACGCAGGCGCTCGTCTTCCGCGGCCTCGTCAAGGCCTCCAAGGAAGCGGCCACCAAGGGCTACCCCGGCCAGCTCGCCGGCACGAGCAACGTGCACCTGGCCATGCGCTTCAATATCCCGCCCGTCGGCACCGTCGCGCACGAGTGGTTCATGGGCACGGCGGCCATCTTTGACGACTACAAGCACGCCACCGAGGAAGCCCTGCGCCACTGGGTCGGCTGCTTCGGGTCCGACCTCTCTATTGCGCTGACGGACACCTTTGGCACGCCCGAGTTCCTCAACGCGTTTAGCCTCCCCGCGCGCACCACCGAGGGCGGCGTGCCCGAGGCGACGCTACGCAAGGATGACGGGTCGGTCAAGACGTACGCGGAGCTGTTTACCGGCGTCCGACAGGACTCTGGCGACCCCAAGGAGTACGTCAAGCTCATGCGCAGGTACTATGACTCGCAAGGCATCAAGGAAAAGGTCATTGTCTTTTCGGATTCGCTCGACGTGGACAAGTGCCTAGAATATAAAAAAGTGGCCGAGGAGCACGGCTTCCTGCCGCGATTCGGCGTGGGCACGTTTTTGACAAACGACTTTACGCACCGCACGACGGGCACCAAGTCCCTGCCGCTCAACATTGTCATCAAGCTGAGCTCAGCCGCCGGGCGACCGGCTATCAAAATTAGGTACGTCAAATGTCGCAACTCATTTCCGGGCTCGGCATGTCTCGTCACTAACCATTGGATACAGTGATAATATCGAGAAGAATACCGGAGACAAGGAGCTGATTCAAAAGGTCAAGGAGCAGATTGCGTACATCGAAAATAAGTGGGAGGAGGGTAGAGAGGACGCCAGATGGGGCAAAGAAGAAGCCAGCAAATAGACGTTGATTTTTGCGTAGTGAGATTTTGGCTATCCAAGCAGTCTTGACGCGGCGCGATATAGTTGGTTAATTTCGCATTTACAATTGACAACAGAAACATGTGTTTAGGAGAGGTTCAAATTGGATTTACGCAGTGCTTTCGTGCTCCTGTATACGTGGCTGTGCAGCGTGCTGATGAGCCAGCATGTTCGGATCGGCGCCATGGTTGTGCGTCTGCCATTTCAATATCTCAGCATTAGTTATGCTAACATGTACGTGGTGAATCATCAGGCACATCTAACATGCTTCACATTTTTGTGCATATATCCACAACAAGCCAACAGGGGGGGGGGGGCTCCTCAATACCGGTATAATTATAGAAAATTGCGCGTTGCGAAATGTCTCCCATTTACGCGTTCATTAAAACCCCTAAACGCGACACCATCACCAACCTCGTTCACACACCCATACACACATACACACTTCCCCCGATCACCAACGATGAGCAGCAGCGGCGGCAGCCGCAGCAGCCGCAGCAGAGCGCCTCGGCGGCACAAGAGGGAGCTTTCCGATAGCTCGATCCAGATTATCGAGATCCGAATTGTCAATAAAAGGCCGAGGACCGAGGAGCGGCCCGCAACGCCGCCGCCGCCGCCGCGGGAGGAGCAGCGCCTGCACGACTTTGAGGACTCGCCGCCACGCAGGTTTAACAGAACTTTCCAGCGCGCCACGGCGGGACGCTTCTTTGTGCTGAGCCGCGAGCGGTGCGATGAGTGGGACTGCCCGCAGGAGGAGTTTGAGCTGGCGGGATCGACGGGCAATGTGTACACGATTCGGATAGGGCGCGAGCTATGGTGCGACTGTGAACATTCGATCAGAGGAAACGTGTGCAAGCATCTAGTATATGTGCGTTTTTTTTTTTGGGTCCTCTCCGCCTACCACGGGCCGATCCTTTGCACAAGACTAACAAAAACATTTTGTTGAACAAACAAAACAGATATTGCATCGTGTTCTCAAGGCCCCGTTCCACTTTCTCTACCAGTGGGCGCTCCTCAGCAGTGAGCTCCGGCAGATTTACGACAATCTCTCGCGCGGAAACGCTGCCGAGAACCGCAAGGCGGTCGAGGGCGAGTGCGCCATCTGCTACAACGACTTTGAAAGCGGCGAGGACGCGCAGAGCCGCGCGGTGGTGTGGTGCCGCGCGGGGTGCGGCCAGAACCTGCACAAGACGTGCTTTGAGAGGTGGGCGCGCTCGTGCATCGGCAATGTGACGTGCCCGCTGTGCAGGAGCACTTGGGAGGCGGGGAACGAGGATGAGGACGGGGGAGAAAGCTGGAGCGACTATTGGGAAGAAACTCGACATAATCTGGAGAGAAATTCACGGCGGTTCCGACGTCGCTATTGAAAGCAGAGGGGACTGGGACCTTGGAACAAGGCTGACAATACTTGTTCTGTTGAAAACAAGGACTATAATACATACCACTTACTATAGAATGGCATATAAGACCCCTAGAGGACACTGAATAGCATAATCATAACATTACCATTGATATAGCCAAATGAGCTCCCACAAATTCGAGTCCTTGACAAAGTATAACCTAATTATAGTTGGTCGAGCCTAAACTCCTTTGGAAAACTCCATAAAATGACGATGAGCACCGCAGACATTTTTGCCGAAAGATTATGCCTATCTGCTTGATGTATATGGATCAGCATACTGCCAACAAGTACACACAAAGATACGGCAGAGACATACTCGGCAATCCTCAACAGTCATCCGCAAGGCAGTACAACCGTCTTTGCTGCGTCTCATCACTGCCATCTACACCACTCGTCAGGCTTACACTTCAACAATGTGAAAGCTGTGAGGTGAGTATACAGCACGGCCTTCTTCCAGCAAGGGCGGCGTGAGACAGATTGTTATACGAATTCTCTGAGGACCGAACATGCTATGGTACAACTTGACAAGGTCTTCCAACGTATCAAGACGGCAAGAAAGTCATCTCTACGTGCTAGGCTCCTCGCCAATCTCCCTGAGCTCTTTGCGGCCCATGGCAATGAGCTCGTCATTGTCCAGCGTGTCCTTGTCAAAGCCGTGCACCGCCGCGCTGACCGCCGCGCCGCCAATCTCGCGAATATCAATCAGAGGGAGGCCAATTATGCCCGCGGCGGCATGGGCCAGCATGCCGGTGATGTAGCCCATTCTCTCGGGCGACTTGACGAGGCCGATGCGCAGGAGGCACATCTCCATGACGCCGCCAGATTCCGCGGTGGCGTCGAGTAGCTGTGTTTCGACGCGGCCCTTGTTTTTTTTTTCCCTTGGGTCAATGAAAAAAAAAAAAAGTCGGGGCGAGCGTATTTACAAAAAAAAGGGTTCGCTTACTCGCATCAGGGTGTAGTCGCCGAGAATCCAGGGCTTCTTGGTCTGGTCCCGCTCTGCTTTGGCGCCGCTGGCATAGACGAAGCGCAAGGGCTTGCCGCTTTTGGGTCGGGGCAGCTGCTTCAGCGTGTCAAAGCCTTTCATGACGTAGTCGACGCAGACTGTCTTGACCGCCTCAAAATCCAACCTCTTGGACGCGGTCGGCGTAATAGCCAGAAGCCTAAGGGGGGGGGGAAGGACATTCGTGTCAGGAGAGGGCGGTTCTAGGTGCAAAGAGTTAAATGCCAGATGCAGGCGTCGGCGCCGGAGAGCTGGCTCTTGACATGCTCTGTGTAGTTGGTAAAGTCTTCGAGAGTCACTGATTGGAACTTTTCGAGCTCCGGCCCGGCGGGGACGCTCTCGGGCGGCGGCGTGGGACGGCGGCCGAGGGCGACGACGGAGGTGACGGACTTGTGCGAGAGGGCTTGACGGATGACTTCGGTGCCGATGAGGCCCGTAGCGCCGACGACGATGAGCTTCATTGTGCAGGTTTGTGATGACCTGCTTTGCTCAAGGTGTATGTATTTCAGAAGCGTGAGAGGGAAAAAAGCAAAAGAAATAAAAGGAGAAGAAAAGAATGAAATACAAGATTAGTACTAGCTTTGAAGCCTATTTGTCGGGCGCACATGGACGCAACCCGGATTTAAGGGCCCAGAATTCCGGCGGTGGATACGTCCGGAGCACCGAACCCCGGTGACGGAAGCGGCTCCCTACGAAGTAGCGTGATGCAGGGCTGGAGTCACTATACTAGGCGATGAGAGGAGATTTAAAAACAGGTCCATCGCAGCGCCCTGATTGTTTTGGACGTTCTCGCTTTCCAATTGAACTTGCCGCGACTTTGCAGTATAAGTACCAGCGGCCCTTCTTGTTGTTGGCGCTTCGGCGTTGTGACCAAGTTTCGCGCGCCGAGCTTGTGAGCTCATTCGGGCGGAAAGGGATTTTTGTCGTGAATTGCTTTCATTTGCAAGCTGCACTACGCGTCACGTGGCAATGAAGTTTCCTGGCTGCATCTGGCTCTGCGTGATGGGTACGTATATTGAACTCGGCTGAGCCCAAAGTGAGGAGAAGCTCAGTTTTGTACCACCTCTTCAAGGTCAGGAAAAAGCCACACCTTCTCGGCTCCTTTTTTCTTTCCTGCATGGCCCATCTCCTGAAGTTTTTACTACTTCAGTATTGCGAAAATGACAAACGTTGAGCCCAGGCGAGCCAAGGTATTGTGGTGGGATCCCGAGAGAGTCCATGTCCTCTGCCCGTGGTGTGAAAGATCTCATAGTCACCAATTTTCCAAACCATATCACAATCAGCTTGGAGACGCACCTTGCCGCCCTTCACACAGCGGCGCAGCGACTTACAGCATTGACTATCCAATCGATCCGGCTAACATAGGCTACGAGATCGACAAGGAGAACTGCCGGTACATGACCAAACTCGGCTTGGAACATCAAAAAGACATACTTAGCGATGCTTACATGGAAGACCGGCGATGGGGATTTCGAAAGGAAATCGAGAAAAAGCAGACTTGGTCAGCCACGATGGAAAAGTCATTGGTCGGCAAGGACGCAAAGGAGAAGAAAACGATGGGAGAGGACGCCACTATTCGGCTGGATGATACCATATGCTTCAGAATGATGCAAGGTGACCTGGAATTCGTCAAGAACTTCCTCGAGTCGTCCTCGGATGCTGCTCCTTTTTTGCATGGGGTTTTTTCGGAATTGCATAGCAAGCAGTCTGCTCCTGAGAGCGGCGGAATAGGGTTCGATCAATTCCCCTATGGGACAACGGCTCTACACATAGCAGCCCGAGGACAGTACCCCGAAATTGTTCGTCTTCTTGCAACCAAAGGTGCCAATATCGACGCACAAGACATCAGCGGTTACACTCCACTCATGGAAGCAGCCTTTTGGGGGCGTCTAGAGAATGTACAAATCCTGCTCGATCGTGGAGCAAATGCAATGCTGAAGTGCATTCATGATGGTCGCTTGAAAACCGCACAAGAACTTGCTGAGAACACCAGGAGCAATGCCTGGATTCGGAGAAGGCGCGTTGGAGGCCCTACGTGCGAGTCCCTCGTCAACGATGATACATATGCGAGAGATTGTGATCGTGATGATATTCGCCATCTACTCCGCGGTAGAATGTTCAAGGATCCCACCGTGCCTGCGCACCTTGCGTTACAAGGGTTCGCGTTTAGAAAAGACAAAGAGAAGCCTGAACTCTTGTCTTTCACGACGTACTACAGTCTTTTCGGTAAGCGGAAAGCTGCTGCAGTATTACATCGCGGTCGAAACCTCCCTGATGTGTCTGCGATGAGCGGTTGGGCCCATGATGATGAAAGCGACAAGCCTTTCGTCTCAGGGAATGAATGGACAGCTAAAGTGCTAAGCTTGAGTCAGAGATTCAATCTTCAGCTGCAGCCAAGCGAACACGACGGCGACAAAGTCGGCCGTGTTGAGGCGAGCCATGCGGAGAAACAACTTATCGCGTACCTGATTGATCGGCACTGGTTCATGAAGGATGAGATGATATTGCCGGACCAGATGGACGAACTTGCGGAGAGTGCGGCAAACTTGGACATTCAGGATTCTGACGAGGCAAGGTCACGGCAGAGGGAGAGAGTGAGGAAAGAAAAACTCGGCAAGTTGTATGAAATCAGGCCAGCGGACAGACTAAAGGAGGCGGCAATCATGGTGAACAAGCCCAATTGTGAAGAATGCCAGCGCTTCATTCAGGGTGTGAGACCCTCGGAGTTGGAGTTGGACCTGAGAGTGCACGGTTATCGCACCATTGACTAGATAGGTCAAAATTTGACAAATGATAATTTAATCAGAATCGAGGCTCTTTTTTCAACATGGAGCAGCTGTGCATTCAACTGTCCCATTCAAGGCTCCTCAACATGCAACCCTCCATGACAGTAGCCAACTCGACCACACGAAAATTCTCCAGCGCCAAAGATAGTTTCGAAGCAAGATAAGTGTCCAAGGTTAGATACGCAGATTTAAATCAATCAGAGGCCTTTTTGTTTCCCAAAATTGGCAACTTACAGCCTCTTGCCCTGGACAGGATGCCCAGGGCATATTTAGCTAGCGTCGTCGCGTCTTGTTGGTGGAGCCTCTTTACGCGGGTGGCTGCCCCCCGTCACGACCAAGGTTCAACCTCCTCGTTTCTGGCGTGAGCCCTTTTCGATTCATCCCCCATCACCATCAGTGTCTTTTTTTTTTATTACATTGGGCTCTTTCCGATATTCGCCTTCAATATATTCATTCACTCAATTCTCGATTCTATACACACAATAATCGCGCCACCTTTACCCACGTTCAAATTACGAGACATCAAACCAACGCGACATCTACACAAACGACACCATACAATATGACTCTCAAGCGCAAGAGATCATCCTCCGAGCTTGCCTCGTCGCCGCTGTCTTTTGCTTCGACATTCAGCTCGCCTCCAAGCAAAAGTCTCTCAATGATTGACTTTACGCCACGCATGGGGCTCATCAACCCGTTCCATCTCAACAGTCGCACGCTCAAGCGATTCCGCGACAATAGGCCCTCACAGGCAGAAATTCATCGTAAGTCGGCCACTTATGTGTTCTGGCACCCCAATCTTGTCCAGAATCGCGTACATTTGAGTTTCACATCCGCTAAAAAATCTCGGCGCAGAGCATACACTAGAACTACTATACACAGCGCAACAACAGCAGCAACACCAGGATCCTCCCTCGCCCTGCCCCGACGCCGAAGCTCCTCCTGAGCTGGAGCAGCCCCAGCAGAGACAGGATCATAATCAGCAATCGCTCCATCGGTTCTGGAATATAAGATCTCGGCCGACTGCGGCCCCGGATACCACCATAGAGCCGATGCACATGGACCAACCTTGATGGAGGTGCTCAATCGCGCGACTACACTTCATACGTCGCTCTGGACAAGGTCTCATCTCTAGTGACGGTACAATGTGAGGAAAAGTCGCTAGTCGCAAGGCATGGCGCACATTAGGCCTTGTGAAGCACAGTCCGCAGGTCGGTGTGCAGGAACGTCTACGTGCAGTCGCATGTCATTATACTTTGTACAAGCCTACGCACCAAGGAACATGCAGTCGGCGGTCATTCGGTCAAAATCTACATCTTTTCAGCTGCCACTAGTATGCCTTGCAATATTTGAGCCGTCTGCAAATAATGATAATGAACCATTTCTATGCAACTGATTATCTGAGTCTCACACAGCCAACTACGAATGAGTATCACTCTGGTTTCCCACGCTATGTGACATGACGCTACAACGTAGTTCTAAGTAAGGAAGTGGTATGATGCGTTGTGAAGCCGATGCCACGCATTTCGCCAAACAGGCCGGCGTGCCCGTTCCAGACGTATTCAGCCGTGGCACGCCAGACGTATATATATCTGAGTTATATTGAAGGCGAGACGCTGCTTGACGCACAAGTTGGCTTGGGCCCCGAGACCTGTGCGCGCTGTCGGTCTTGACGATAAAGTGTGTCCCATCTTCAGTAGCTTTGGTGCGAGAGCCAGGGTCAGCTACGTCTTGTCTATCGGCAGTTTCAAGCCTACTCGAGGACAACGTCATCTTCGCGCACTGCCACATCGTTGGCGCTGATCAATTGGGAGGTGGCCGACTGCTATTTCGAGTACTAAGAGTACTTCAGGTTTCTGCAATTCGACAGCAAGGAAAGGGCGATTTAAGCAGATATCTTTGAGCTTGCGGGGCCACCTCATGTGAAAGGGAAGTTGGTCCTAAAACGAAATATCGGCCCAGCGGGCGGCTACTTCGCACTTATGAGCGTCCCAAGTCGCATCCAGGAGGCAGCCTCGGACCGCGATTGAGTCTAGTCAACCCAATGAAGCGCAATTCAGCACAGGTAGATGTAGCGCGGAATGATGCATCAAATGTATTAACGATTAATTGTAGTATGGTATGAGCTAAGGTGAGTCCTGTCAGAAGACATTGAAGGTCTAGCCGCGGCGACGAGTGGTCGGGCTCTTCTTGGTGGGGGTGGCAGAGGACTTGGCCTCGGCGGGAGCAGCCTTGACGGGAGCCGCCTTGACGGGAGCAGCCTTGCGCTTGCCCCTTGCCTTTTCCGAGGGGGCGTTCCAGTAGTAGATCATCTGGGCGGCAAGAATAGCGTTGAGAACAAAGCCCGAGATGAAGCCGTAGAGGATGAGCTTGTCGTCAACCTCTTGGAGGGTGGTAAAGATTCGGGAGAGGGAGCCGGCGAGGTAGTTGAAGACCTGACAAAAACAGTACATGTTAGCAGTGCGAATCTGTCGAGGCGTGGGACACGCCCGGGTACGTACGGTAAAGGCGCTGAGCTGGCCAGTGCCGCCTTGCTGGGCAATGGCAAGGATCTGCGGGAGCTTGCTGGCGACACCGAGGACGCCGGCACCCGCCTGTAGGTAGCTGAGGAGCTTCAGGTCGAGAACGCCATCGGTAAAGAGGGCGCCGGCGGCGCCGGCGAGTACGGCGACAAAGACGGCGGCGAGGGCGGCGCGGTTGCTGTAGTTGAGGAGGAGGACGGAGATGACGACGTTTTGGGCGAGGATGAGGGCGGTCTCGCCGTAGGTGCTAAAGGGAAAGCCGTTGCGATAGTTGTAGGCGAGGGTGATGAGGTAGGCGCTCGTCTCGAGGACGTAGGAGAGGAAGCTGACGCCGTCGGCGGAGCGGGCGCTGACAAGCTTGAGGATCTGGGGGACCTTGACGATGAAGGATGCGCCGATGATGCCGATGCCGAGGCCCTTGGAGACGCCGAGCTTGAGACAAGCCGTGTTTTCGAGGTCGATGTCGAGGAGGATGGCCTTGTAGCACTCCTCGCCGACGATGGAGACGCCGAGGTCGCGGATCGGGCCGGGGAGGTTGTGGGTGATGGGCTGGAGGGCGGAGCGGAGGGCGTCCATGGTGTGTGTGTGTGTGTGTGTGTGAGGCTGTTGGTGGGAGCGAAAATTACTAAAGAGGCTGTACAATGTAACTAAACGGACAAGGGAACAAGGGCAGAAGAGAAGATGGGGTGATGAATGAATGGCGTGATTTGCGAATGCAGCAAATGAGGTTGGATGCGGGATAGCAGAAAAGGAAAAAAAAAATTGATTGGCGTCCCTTATTTTCTGGGTTGTCGAAATAATCCGGGGTCGCTTAGTTTTTACGGCGGCGGCCAGGTTTGGACAAGTTGCGATTATTTAGGTTGTCTGTCATCAGGGGAGGAGAGAGAGTGTGGGGGGGGAAGAAGATGCGCTCTGGCATGTGTGACGCGACTCGGTCAAACACGAAAATAGCACACCTACCCGGTAGGCGAGCCGCGTTTCTCCGTTGGGATGGTGCGGGTGCAGGAATGCGTGGAAAGACTGTGACGCATCTTGTCGATTCCATCGAACCACTTTACGGCAAGCATGAAAAAAGCGACTTGCATTCTCTGTGAGCGCGGTGAGCCACACAGTCATGGTGTCTGGTGACTTGGACGATATGCCCAAATAGCTAGGTAATAGTTGGTTGCCTGTTGGATGGTGTGGGCCAGCTGTGCGTACATAGAGAAAAGTCTTATGTAGCTCTGCCATTTTCGTCTACAAAGTACGGTGGCTTGGGTAACAAGTCTAACTGGGGACTAAATTGGCCCGTCAAGTCGGCGAGGCTGTCTTGGTGGGCTCTATCTGGTGATCTAGCAAATGGGTCAACTTTTGAGGTACATCTATCTACCTGTCAGTGGCCGTGATGAGATCCGACCATGGCGAGCCGTGGCTTTTCCTTCCGAGCCTTTGGGAAAAAAGGACAACTCCGGGATGAGACAACTCCGGAGTGAGCTAAATAATACGGATGATATTGATGATTAACGGCGCAGGCCTTTAATATACTTCTCCGTGGGTGCATTTCCGTGTGTCGCAGTGGATGGCGGGCTGCAGCGGGACGCCGGGAGCGTTGACGCAGGCTGGGACGCAGGCTGGGACGCAGGCTGTGACGGGCTTGCCGCAAGCCATTGCCTATTCGGAGGGATTGGGGGGCGGGCTCAAGGGGCCCAGTCGCGGGAACAACCGCTGATGAAGGGCCCGGGACAAGCTCGCAAGCTCACAACTCCCCTGTCGCGGTCAGCTGGTCCAGGCAAAGCACCACGACCAGCACCATGACCAGGTTGACAGGCACCTGGCTTGGCTCATGCTCATAATGCGCTGGCAGCCCTGATGCCTGCCTGCCTACCTATCCTTGGTATCTACCAAGGTACGAGCAAATAGTAAAAAGACGGACCTGCCCACCTCCCCTTGCTGAGCAAACACACATACCACCGATTTTCTTCTTTTTTTTCCTGTTACACTTTGGATTTCCCCGCCAAGGCCTTGCTGGGATTCCACCACACCACCAGTCTCGCAACCGCCGGCCCACTACAGCTTTCTCGTCACTTACCGACCTACCTATTAGGCGGCAATCCCCCACCACCACTACCGTTACCACCTCCTCCACTCTCTCCGCATCCATCCTCGTCGTCTTCTGTCAACCGCTGCAGTCGACTGCATCGCCATTCAGATACCATGGCCTCGCCCCCGAGCGGCGGCGCCACACCCGGATCTGCGCTCCAATACTGCTACATGTTTGAGAGCGACAAGCGGCCGACAAAGCAGCTCGACGCCCTCCTCCGAGCCATTTCCCTCCACATCGTAAGTCGGCAAACACCCCACTCACCGCTTGTTTTCGCCCGATGTCATCGCAACGCAAGGCGATGCAGCCATGGCCATCATGAACATGTCTATACGCCCAAAGTGCTAACCAAAACGTCGCAGTTACTCCACATTGGCGATCGAAATGAACTACAACTTACTCCCAAAAAACTCGCCGCCTTTTACAAGACTGTCGGCGGCGACTATGATTGTTAGTGCTATTCCGTCCCGATAACCCCTCCGTACACCCAACCGCTAACTTGGTACTCGCTCTAGCCATCTTTATAGACATGCCCGACTCTTCAATTTCATACATTTGGCAGGTCACTGGATGCCAACACACACTACAACCCACCGACAACGACTTTGCACCTCCGTCGATACCCGCCTTGACGCCGCGAGGCTTCTGCCGATGGGAGTCTGTCGAAATTCTGCTCGGCCCCGAGGAGCACGTGCCGTTTCTACAATTTGCCGTCAAGAATTGGAATTTGCGACATCCAGAGACTGGCGAGTGCTTCCCCGCCGACTTACCTACCGACGTTTTCCCCTCCGCGGCAGACGAGGAAGTAGACCTGTGGCACAAGGCTTGTGGCGAGAGGTTGACGCGCGAGGCTGCTGGGCGGCCTGTTCGCCCTGCCAGACAGACAACACGTAATCAGGAACCTACGGATCCCGTCGATGCCAAGTTTGCCTCGGGCCATTCCAGAAATCAATCATCAGCCGGCACCACGCGCCCTCGGACAAACGATGCCGACTACTTCGGCAGACCTTTCAGCTACGTCAACGTGGCTGCGAATGGCCGCCCGCCCAAGCATGGTCACTCCAGTCGCTCGCCCGAGAAACCTGCTAGGAATAACCGCAGCTTCAACGATCGAGTCAGACGGCGAAGTTTCCCCGATATTGCCGCGTCATCAAAAGACGCAGAACCAGAAGAGCGTTACCCTTACGACGAGGCTTATTCGGATCCAAGAGAGCCGCGACGCCCGGCGGCTAGCAGAAGACATAGTCACCCTCGCCACTATTCCTCTGACGAGGATATGGATGCCGAACCTATTGCTCCAAGAGGTAAACGCCGACATGCAGCCTCACCCACTCCGGGAATACGTCGTTTTAGTCCACCCGACTCGGGTCACGGCAGTGGGTCAAGCTCATCGCGTCCTCATCGACCAGAGAGTGATCCGAGGAGGCGGGCTGGACCTAGCCCTCTAGGATCTCTGCGGAGCAAGCTGAGCGAAACAGTATCGAGCATTTTACCAAACAGTCTCACGTCGCGACCTAGTTCACGGAATCAGAATAGCAGCGAACATCTTCGTCAGCGAAAGAGCCGAGAACAAGTTCGTCCTAGCCGTCTTAATCGCAGCCACTCGGATCTGGACTCGGAAAATGATTCAGACCTTGGCCCTTTGGACGACTTTCCGAGACGGCGCAGACGACCCGACGAGCGGGATCGTGATCGGCTCCGCGACAGTGGCCGTTTCCGGGAGGAAGCAGAGCGGGATGAGGATAGGGACGCTGGCGTGTATCGTGACCGCCAGCGTCGCCCAGACGTCTACAGGCGCACCAGCAGCCACGCAGATGTGGACAGACGGAGGGACCAGGACAATTGGGATCTGCGTGACCGAGATCGTCTCAAGGAAGAACGCAAAAAGTGGGATAGGGAAAGGGAGCGGAGATCACCTCCCCAGGAGACCCTCGCCACACCACTGAACGGGGCGTCCTTTTCAAGACGGCATCCCGAGCCAGCATATAGCTAAGACGCAAATGATTTAATGACAGCGACAGCGATGATATACGATGTAATGAATTTATAGTTTGTCTTTTGCAATAGCAGCGAGACTTGGAAATAATGAATGCATTTCTCCACTTGAAGCTGATGACTTGGCTGCAGATGATCTCATATTGTTTGTGTTCAATGGAGACGGATGACTCGAAATATCAACATGGTGCACAGTAAGAAGACACATAACAGGATAAGATGAAGAGAGAGGATACTGAGTCAACAGAATTACCGACAGAATCAGCTAAAGCAACACTGGCTTGCACCCACGCACCCTAGTTTAATGCACATGCTCTTGGTGCGGAGTGCTTATACTTTCTTGTACTCTGCGACTTTTGCCCGAACTGAAAGAAGCATTTTTTCCAACACGAGAGTAACAAGGATCGAAACAATACTGGAGACGTCAACCTCTAAAATTGGCTAAGGGGGGGTGGGCAGCAGGCTGTCAGAAACCACGTTCCCCTGCCCTCTCGTGTTATGCACACGCCACGCAGACCCAGATGATGGGGAAACCTCGTGGCATGGAAGACCGAATAGAATTTCGAGAAAGGCGGGCTAGAAAAAAAAAAAAAGAAACTATTTTCTGACTACATGCGCTAGAAAGGCTCACAGGGGTCTTGGGGGATTTGGACCCGTCTGGAAAGAGGACAGGGCTCACGGAGGGAGGTTGGCTAGGGGCGGTTTGGCTGCGAAACTCGGTCTTTGGCCGGGTTAGCAGATGTCGGATTCCGCCTGAAGCTGTTTTTTTGATGATGATAATTGAGACCGATATATGGATACTGGGAGATGAGAGCTGAATAAGCTGAAGTTTAGACATGCCCGTCTTTACATATGCAGTGCGTTGTGGACTGCAGTGTCTAGGTCCACATCATTGGGAATTTGAGCGACCAACACGGGTGACTTGTGATGGGTAGCCATGTTGCAAGCCAGGAATATGTGTCAAATAAAAGTCGTGCGAGGCTTCCAAAGAAAAACGTACCTGAAGAAGTAGATGCCATGGCTGCCTGGAAATGGAGCTCCGGACCAAGGATGCGACGGAACATCCACCACCCCCCCATCGAGCTTACCGAGCTAACCCTCTCAAAGATGGAAGATTTTTCTCTGTACAGAACCCCGCTACCCAGAGATACTTGCAGAGAAGCTTCTTTTGCAGAGGAGGTGCTAGCGGCGCCGGGGGGGGGGGCCTCCCTTGGGAAGCTTCACTCGCATCACGGCTCCACGAAGAACGACGTTTGGACGACGAGTGGCCTGGCCGGCCCTCGCTCGGCAGATTGATGGGTCGTTAAACGCCTGTCAGCAGCAGAGAGGAGGAAGAAAATAAAAAGGGCGGGACTGCCATGGGGACGGTCAGACGCTCGTGATCTGTCCGTACCTCTCTCGGTCTGCGGCGGCGGCGGCGGTGACGCTCTTTGGCAATCGGGAAATATTTCTAGTTACGCCTTTTACAGACTCTAGTAGAATGGCAGTCTATGCTTGATGAGGTCAGGGTTATGCACAAATAAAAGGTTGTCCTATATCAGATAATCTTCTTTTACAGCATTGCAGCAGTTTAGTATTATAGAACATGCTGGCCGGTGGTCAATTTGAAGAAGACGCTGATGCTAGCATAGACCTTTTTTCTTCTATTTTTTAGTTCTTTTAGGTGGGAGCGAGTCTTTGTTAAAGCAATAATCACTGAAATCGAGGTACAAGTTTCGGCACTTGTTACCCGTAAAGGGTTATATAGGACCAGAGCCGTGGCTTTGCCAAGTAACGACGCGATAGCAGAGTGGGAGTTTCCCGCGCGGCGATGTGGTAACCTAATTAGGAAAGGCAAAAGATTGGTTGCCGAAATCGCCCTAGCCTAGGTAGGTACGCCTAAATAAAGTATCTACTCTCCACCTTGGTGGGTTAAGGGCGAGACCCCGGGGAAATGTTTCTATTTGAATAAGCATGCTTTTCTGATGAGGCGTTCATTTGCGTTTATTGCTCGTATAGACCAAAAGGGCATGGCGTTTGGAAAGGATCCAGGCACAGAAGAAGGAAGGATGAAAACAAAGAGCTCGACTGATAAAAAGGCAAAAGAGCCTTTTGAAATGGGACAAGTTTTGCGGCGGGCAGTTGACAGCTTCTTATTGCTTTGCTGGGTTTGCGCTTTTGTGCTCTTCGACATGGGCTTCTTCATAATGTTCCCCTCGGATGCTGTAGAATAAGAATAAGACTTTTCATGCACATAGGTCTGTCTGCATCGCGCTCCTCGTATCGATAGCCACTGTCAGACGAACCAGCCACCAGCTTCCTAGTCTGTATCTGGTGGCCGCTGTCACAATCCCCGTTACGGCACCCACCATGCCGAGCAGTGCTTACTCGCCTCCATAGACAGCTTGACAGCGTCGCTTACCAGCCGCATGCTACACACTCGACCCTCATCGATCACATCTTTGAGCCTCTACCCCGAGCACGCCACTGTTGCTGCAGCTTCTTTTCCTTGCATTCTTGCTCTTCTATTCTCCGACTAAAACGCAACTAGTTCGTGCTGAGGCTTACTACGGAGCACGGCACGGGGTAGCATCAACTTCGTCTCCTCTCCTCCGTCTTGGCCACGGATTGGGGGTCCCATGTCTGCATAGAGTGAGTAACGTGGAAAGCAGGGATGAAATAAAGATTGGAAACCTGGGCGTGCTGGTACATGCCATGAAGACAGCCAAGGATCCCAGTAAGCGGCAGAGGCGGCGTGTCTCTAGAGCAAGCCCTTGTCCAGGCAGGCTTGGTGCTGTGGCGATCAAAGGGTCACGCATTTTCAGCGCGTCGTCTTTTGGTCGCGTATGTGACATTGGCGACGTGAGACATGAGCAACGCGGAAGCAGCGAATGAGCGTCTGCGTTCCCAGATCCATCGGGACCGAGAAAAGAGTGCACATGTCTGAGATCGTCTCTTGTTTGCTCTCTGTGATGATGCAGAGAGCTGCAAGGGGCAGAAAATAGCACATGTACCAAATGTCTCACAAGTCCATGCTCTTCCGCATGGTAATTGTAGCCTTTTCATGGGTTCTTTTCATGCTAGCCTCACGCATGTCAGCTTATCATGACTGGATGCTGGCGTACACGCTAGTTAGAAGCTTTCCCCTCTCCCCTCAATTTGAGAAAGGTAAAAAAAAAAAAAACAAAAAACCAGGCACG